GAGTTTACCTCGCATCAAGCGCAGCTCCCTCTTTAGGCGGGTACAACCCGTGCCTGGCGCCAACTGGTCTGCCGATACCGCCAGGGGTAAGCGTGCATGCCGCACTCCGGGATACACTTTTAACACGTAGCCTCCTGTCGTAATTCTCTTATCCGCAAACCAACTTACGGAATTGCAAAAGAAGGGAGTAACACGTGTGAACAGCCGGAGCGCAGCCCCGTCTGGCAAAGAGTCTGACAACCGGTCAAGGCTCTAGACAGCGACGGGTGGAAGAGACGCGAAATGGTGATTCGTACCGCACCTCGGTGGTGCAGTGATGGCCCCCGGAGGCGACAGATACGGTCCCGGACCACCCAACTGGGAAAGATTCCGAGCGACCCGCTCCGCCTCAAGCGTTGGTACCTCGCGGACCCGTAACCAGGCGGCGAGGCTGTCAGGAACCCGAAGGGGGCGACGTGCAGCATGGGGTTTGGGCTTGCCGCCCAAGGGCGGGCAGCGGCCCTAATGGTGGCCGAGTTGCTGCGGTGATGCGGACTGTCGATAGGCCACGGACTTGTAAGTTCCGCTGAAAAAGCCGCGTAGGACCGGCCATTGTGCCACCTACAAATAGGTTCCACCCGGACCACGCACCTATGGTAGTCCAATGTTACGTTGGAGCACTGTACCAGGGTTCTGTCGCTCACTATTATGGCAAACCTGAAAAACTCAAGAACGCCTAACGGAAAACCCGAGTTCTTACGGCGAGTCTGCAAGGTGTCGCGGACTACCTAAAGCCACGACGCCCTGGACGGCAAACAACAAACAGATGGAGACTTGCTGTATGAGCAGCGGGTCTCGAAGTCACGTCCTCGTGGACAGAGTGGAGGTTCGGGAAATGTACGCCGAGTTGCTTAGTCCTAATTAGTAGTAGGACGTTTCACGGTCTAAAGGGCCCCACAGACTGTAACTAAAGGACCCCGTGCGTAGTGGTCCCCCGCCACGCTGTGGTTTGACGCAGGAAAATCTCCGTAAATAAAATCCGGGGGTTTTCGCCCCCTAGCAGATTTAGCATTTTCTCCATTAGCTGAGATGGCTTGCTGTCTCCTAGGCCTTGAATGTCAAGTATCTGGCGGGCCCTCTCCTTAGCAGATAAGCTAAATGTCTTAAGGAGAAGGGCTTTAATCGCCTCATATTTGCCATGGTGTGGGGGTCTGTGATAAATCCAACCAACCTGGACGATGTGGAGCTTCCCAGCGCTGCTACAACATGGTAGTATTTCAGGTCCCTGTCACGGACCTGCCGGCAGGCGAAGTGCGCCTCCACATGTGCAAACCACACCGCCGCGGCATTCTCCCAAAACTCCGGCAGCTTTACGAAAACATCGCAATTAGCCATGTTCATTGAGACTTCGGAAACTTTCTCGAAGCCGTCGGGGTCACCAGTGTAGTGCCGAAGAAAGGGAGTCGGAGGCGGTGTATCAAGAATGGAGTTCCAATCTTTATTATCTATTAATCTCCAAGAGGTTAGTACATGAACTGCTATGTATAACAAGCTAGTAAGAATGGCAGCTAAAGCAACCGGTGTTCCCACTAAAGGGTCCGAGTGGCAACACAATAAACAAGGTGAATTATGGTCCCACATGGTGTCACCACACAAGGCCCCCCAGAATTCACACATGTTGTGATTGTTACTGAGCCCCCTTTTAGCCTTTAATTTACCTGGTAGTCTTGGAGACACAGTAACGGTTAAGAGCTCGAGAGGGCCACATGGTAGCTGGCTGTGACAGGTAATGGAGGGGAGACCTGATGGGAGACCTGCTTCACCCAAATTAACTCTTTAACTTTACCATACAAAGGTTACGAAGTATTTAGACGACAATGAGAAAGAAGGCTTGATGCAGAATACATAACAGTTCACATTCCAGGTCATTATTTACTATAATACAAAACTGTAATGTCTATAAATATAAATTAACTCATAGAGCAAGTGTAATATTGGGGTTGAACACATCACTTATTCTTCACTTTCCTTTAGTCACAGCCTCTTCGCCCCTCCAGCTACAACAGGATTTCATATGTGTCATGTGGTGCATTAAACTGCGCAATGCATACCTCATGTTGTTTTAAATGATCTGGTTCTCTATTCTGATTTAGTTATTCTATGAAGATTTAGATGTGCCACACTGTAGTTATTTTTAAACCATCCTAATTTGTAACTCTTGGCTTTTTAAATGAATGTTTTTGAAATTGTTACATTTGAAAAGATATTTGATCATTTGTTTGCACCATGTCTCAATGTTTTAACTGCTTTGGTAAATCACATTGACTTGCTTTGTTGTTCAGTGCAATATAAATAAACTTGCATTGCTTATTTTTGAAAATGACAAGTAATGATATCACATACTCTGTATTATGATATAGTCAGACACTGTGTTATTTCAAATATAGCCTAATAAATAATTAGTTCAAAACTGGCTTTACTCACTTGAATTGCTCCTTAGAATGTAATTTTCCTCTGTGGTTTTATATGCAACACATTTTTGTATTGTAATGCCACTCGTATTTTATTTATTTGTGTATTGTAAGGTGACATTGAATGTTTTGAAAGGTGTCCTCAAATAAAATGTATTATTGCTATTGTTCCTGTGCCTCTCTCACGCTGTTAACGTTATTTTTTTCCGACAAGGCTAATCCTGGTTGTCAATAGGCGAGTTCTGCACGGTTTCTCTACAGCCCATGCTCAGCAGACCAGGTGTTGGTGCTGCCGGATTTGGAACCCCCACTATAACTTTGTCCTAGATAGTCGTACTGTCACCAAAATCACACTGGTGTTTGCTGTTCACCTGTAGTTTGTTCACACAAAAGCGTTTTACTCTGGGTTCAGCAGGTGAAAAACTAAAGAGGGGCTTCCACATGTGGCAGACCAGGTGTTGGTGCTGCCGGATTTGGAACCCCCACTATTACAATAAACCTTCAATCTAAGGCACAAAACTGGCTCCACACCATACAGTCTATGCTCCACACGCCCCCCGTTGTTGAGGGGGGAGTGGCTGCCGGGCGAGCGAATGCTACCCGCAGATCGCGATTTCAAGTCGTCTACAACATACGTTTAGGGAGCTATATAGAAGCCTATGGACATCCCGGAAAGTTTCAAATGTACGCTAAGGGCCGCCCCCTTGCGTTGGAAAAAGCCGACACAGGGGACTTGACATAACGTCAACAAAGGCCGACCTGGGAGTGAGGATGTGTTGAAAGGGGACACCCCCTACCTCGGAGCGGAGGGACAAAAAAAAAGTCATGTGTTCTAATGATTTCAAATCAATCGTCCCTAAGCTGCTAGCTCAAAGTAGCTAGTCCATATCTAGAATTGTATGAGATGTGGGTTAAAATCCACTGCCTGGTAGAACATTTTGGGCTGTATATTAAAAAAATCTGTCTGGCCATAAAAAATAATTTAAAAAATAAACAGTTTCTTAAAGAATATTCAATAAAATTAAGCAAATGCAATAAAGTTACTTGCAGCATAACGGTTGAAACTGTGACCGTCAGGCCAATGGATGCATGCTTCTTCTGCATGTGGATGAGACGCAGGGGCCAGACCCAGCTAGGTGGCAAGATACAGCCTCAGCACTTTTCTTTCCTCTGTTTTTTGTAAACATATTTTTTGTATTTCTTTTTCCTCAAAGTTTTCCTTTCCATTTCCTGTATTTGACAGAGGCATCATTTTTGTTTACACAGCTGTAACTATGTGTTGTGCATGAATGTTGCACCAATTTGTTTTGGAAAAAAATAGATGACAACAGTATATTTGTGTTCCTGCACATATTTTTGTAGACTTGAACAATCTTTATATGCAGAATTCTCTACATACAGAACACCATAACAAATGTGTGTGCTTTAGATTGAGCACCACAGTATGTAGTTGGTTGGACAAAGAGTATTTTACTATAAATGAAGTGTGTGCCATTTGGTGCAAAAGTTTGGTTTTGGTAAGTATTTATGTAGTTCTGAGTGCAGTGCTTCATTTTGCAGTAGGCCTATATGAGGTGTTTTGCACTTTGTGTGTGTGGTTTTGTGAATTGTGTCTTTCAAAAAACGTGTTTTAGCAATTGAAAAAAACTGTAAAACAGAGTATGACTACCCCCTCCTGAGAGAGTGAATTGCTAACAACCAAGGTGAAAAATATAAATAAACACATGTAGCTCATACTAGTGGCATGCCATTTCACTTGTAAAATGTACACATATGATCAGTGACTTTCTCCATGGTATTGTTAGAGTGTTTTAAAATACTGAACCAGACCTAATGGCACCCAGAGCCTTTGAGTCAAGCGGGTTCTAGGTTTGTTGCTATAGTATTCTGGATCAATCAGAGGCTGGCTCACTGCTCCAGAGTGCACCTCCACCATCAGGACTCTGTTTACTTAAGCTGACCTTAGCTCCAGTCCTACCGCCATGTGGCTCATGGTCTCCATAATTATCTGTGCAGCTTCATGGATCCACACAGAGGAGGGGGAGGGAACAAAGCTGGGAGGAAAAGTGTCAGGAATGTCACAAACAGGTGTCAAAGCTGGAAAGAAACAGAGAGCCATGCTTCTCTCATTAGCAGAACGTGCATCAATATATTTAAACATGTATTGTATTATCAATTTGAGGTGCATTTGTGGGTCGCATTCCTCTCAGGAGGCTGCTGACTCACTATCAAACATTTAGTAATAAAATGTGTCAGCAAACAAAGATCATACAGTTTTGCTGTGTTTCTTGGGTGAAACGGACTTTTAATTATATAAAAAAAAGTGTCCACGGAGGATTGCTTCTTTCATTATGGGAAAATAAACAAGTGAGGACCAAAGTCCATTCTCCAAGACAGAGAAGAGGTGAATGTCCGCTGCACATCAGAGAGACGCATCGTTCAGCAGCAGGAGACACATCCGTAAAGACTTCTGTTACACTAAAACGGTGTTATTATCATTTGGTGATAGCCTAGGATTAGCCACCGAGGGGAAATGTGTGTATTTTAAAGATGGAATACGGCTTTAAGAGGAATTTCACATGGTAAGTAAAGTTTATTTGTATACTGTCGCGCTTTTGTCTTTTTTTGTTGCGTCATTACGAAACAGGTCCACAATGTTAAAAGTGTATTTTGCCCTCTAAATGCTAAGCTAATAGCCTATTATAGCTGTATGATTTTTACGAAGGTATAATTATAGCCAAAGAAAATGTCCATATGTGGGTCTGTAACATAAAAAAGTACAAAACCATGTATTCAGATTTATAACACCAAAAACAAGATATTAACGCTCTTGAATTATTGTAAATATCGATATAAACCTCAAATATTCTGTTATGAAATTAAACACTTTAATTATAGAATTCTGTTTATTATATGGACCTGGTTTTATTATTTATTTTCCTGACTAATAATGAACTTTAGTTTATGGAAGATTGTGTCGCAGTTTGGCGAAGTAAAATGAAACGCATATCAATACAAACAAACATGTTATTAAGTAATAAAAGCAATAAAAACATTGAATGGAAAAACACACTTGCAGTTAACATACCAAACAAGATAAGAGACAGGTCAGGGGCTGTTTTGCTGGCAGTCTTGAATTTAAGACACATTATGTAAAATAGTTCCTCTGTAAACAGCACAGCAATAACAGTTGAGAATGCTTGAAGTCCAAATGGATTTCCTTTCTGGTCTGTAGTGATGGATTTATGTCAATTTCTCTTTTTCCCACACTGGCTTCAGATCCCAGCAGCAAGTGACCTTTGCACAAAATGACATCATGTAATTTAGGTAAAAGTTAAGATTACATCTGTTATTCTGGGAATCAGGCAAATGAGAAAGCCAACAGTGTATGTAGCCGAACTTTATTTGCATTACACATTATCATTATTTAGTCAAACAAAGCATCCTCCTCCAGGTGGTTAAGGAACTTTACTTATTATCTGAGCATAATTTGGTTTTATGTAAATGTGAATGGAGGATTTCCTGAATAAGCGTTTTCATTTGAACACCTTTACACAGCACACAGTGAAATGTAGACTAATTTAACCCATCCTAGTATTAGGAGCAGTGGCACATACATAAGCTACTGCCACAGATGGCTTAGTTTTTAAGGTTGTGTTATTTTAACTAAAAATACCATTCTTACCAAACACATTCACAACTGTGTATTTGTAATTGCATGATTCATACAATAATATCCTTTTTTTAGTTTAGGGAGGTGGAGAAGGGGATGGTGTGCCTCTGCAAAGAAGAGTCTTTTGTCCAATCATGCTCTGAAGCCCTTGGTTCCCACACTTTTCCTGCTGGTCTTGGTGATATACGGCCTGGGAGACAAGCTCCGAAACTTTGTGCTTGACATCTTCGTCCCTCAGTACCATTACCCCTATGCAGTGGCTCTCTCCCTCGCCCAGGTAGGCTGCCTGGCTCCATTCTAATGATGATTCACATTTTAATCTGAATCAATCAAACATGCACGCATCTTTGTTTGCCATTGACTACCTGTGTATTTAATTCATTATTAAAAATACATAAATGTTACCTTATATGTTTATATATTTAAAACTTGCACGTAAAGTATGTACATCTATGAAAGAAAATGCTGATTTAAAAAAACATTATTTTTTATCAAAATGATCATAAAACAATTATAAATCAATTATGTGTAATTCATTAATAATTCTCAAAAAATTGTAATCATTAAGATTTGTACAACTGTACAATGAAGCGCAGGGTGTTGGCAATGTAACTTTGTCTTTGCTATGAGTGTGTGTGGGTGACTGTGTGGGTTTTTGTTTGTTTGGAGGACAGGAAGGCGTGTGATAGTGTTAGTGGTGGGTTGTGACCTCTATGGTTGTGACAGAAGGTCTTTAGTGCTGATTATCACCCGGCCTAATAGATGTTCAACCAAATGGCTGACCAGAAAGGACAGAGATTTCAATGTCACCGCATACAAAGGTTGAAACTGTTGCCAGTGACTGTCAATAAGTCATGTGGGTATTGCCTTTAATTATATATATGACAAGGTTTGTAAATCAAACTAGGTTAACAAAAAGGAAGTGGTTTGATTTACTATGTCACATGTGCAAGTGATTTACAAGAACTGAATTAAAGACCTGCGTGGGGGACGGCTGTAAAGGCTGAATGACACAAGTTAACACTGTTCATAGTGCACAAAGCAGTGAATGAGGTTAAAGATTAATTGCGTACTTATGCGTGTAGTTATGTCAGTGACAGTTTTATAGGAATGTTCTATTTCGGGTCCGCACCTCCTAGACCTTTGTCCTTCATTTGTGTGTTTATTTTGGTCATAAAACAAGCTATAGGTAAGTTATGGAAACAAAACAGAAATATTTATCTAATATGATTGCAATTAATTTTCCAGCATTCTATCAACATAAAACCTAAACATAACAATTTGTTTATGCATTCAACAATGATTTTGTAAATGACTTGTAGGAACTGGTGAAGTTTGTTGTTCAAAATCCTAAATCAGCAGCCTCATGTCAGTGTTACTAAAATACTTCCACCCCATATATTTGAGTGTTTAATGTATTTTTTTTAATATAAACTTTAACTCTTTATATTCACATTATCTTCCCCAGGTTCTGATCTCTATCTTATTCCTAAATCTCCTCCATGTCCTGGGTCTGGTGCCTCTGAAGCCTTACTCCAGGTCCCTGGGTGAGAGGGTGCTGGTGCCCTCTATCTGCAGCAGCACCCATGCTGTGCTCTCCATGTGGGCCAAAGCAGGCAGCTCCTATGCCGGTCTCTTCCCCCTCATGCTGCCTCTGCTCCCCATGGTAACTATGGGCTTCAGTTTCTCTCAGAAGCTGTCATCTTCTCCATCTATGGAAATCTCTGTACTTATGTCCATCCTGGGTGGGACTTCTTTCTTCATCACAGGTAAAATTGTTATTCAGAGTTGAAACGATTCCAAATACAATACCTTTAATCAGCTTCCTCTTTCTTTCTGCAGCCTCACAGGGACTGCCAAGTGTGGATCTGCTGGAGTACATGTATGCACCTCTGGATATAATTCTCCACAGTCTGTCTCTGACGTGGCTGGCTAAAGTGTCCGAGGCTGAGCGCCACCACTCCCCCGATGCCCAAGCCTCCATTTTTGACATCTACTACACTCAGCTGGTGAACCAGAGCTGGCTCCTGGGCCTGCTGTGGTTGCTGCACCCACACAGTCCCTGGCAGGTGTTGACTCACAGCAGCTGGCAAAGCCTGCTCTTCCATGGGTATCTGCACGCCATCCTGCTGCTGGGCATGGCGCTCAACTTCCTGGTCGGTATGTCGGCTCTGTGTGTGTCCCCGCTTGCTGCTGCACTGCTACACTCGGCGAGGCAGGTGTTGCAGCCGTTCCTCCAGCTGATGTAGTCCATTGCCTCTTATACTGTATTAATTGGACGCACACACATTGTTATGTAATCCACATTAATGGCCTCAGTGTCATTTTACTTGAAGTTTAACGGGATACATCACCACCTTTTTCCCATTCACAGTAGCTCCTGAGATAAAATACAGAAGTATATTGCAACAAGTTAATGATTTACAGTTGGCTCCAACACAATTGACATGTTTTTTTTCTTTTATTACCCAGTCCTTAGTTGTAGGGTCAAGATTACATCATTTCAAAATGAGGTAACCAAAAGAGTGTCGTTTCTATTAGATTACATATTTGTTTTACTAACATGTACTCCATATGCCCTCAACACATGTCTATTTCTAGAATACTGCACTCGTTGCTCATTAACTTGGGGGAACTTTGTTTTAAAATATTTGCCAGGATGAGACACTGTCTGAAGCAATAGAGGCAAAGTGAGCACGTGTAGAGGACAGGAAGCAGTCCAAACAACATTAAAAAATAAGACGTCCCTGTTCCAGTTAGGTAAAGAAGAACTTTTTGATAGCAATGAAAAGTCATTATCAGCAGTATAGGTCACATTCACACCAGCCTTGTATAGTCCAGTTGAATCGAACCCTGGTGCGTTTAGCCGCTTGGTGCGGTTCGTTTGGGTTGATGTGAAATCAATCCGAGACCTCTGAAGTGAACTAAACAACCGGACTCTGTTCCGCCTACATAGGAAGTGTAGTATTTAAGCGTCACAAGAACGCGGATGTCTTCAAATCTTTAGCGAAAGACTCTTTTGCTAAAGATTTTGAAGACATCCACAGTTGTTTGGCTAAAGAGTGAAGCAGAATGAAGTGTTGAACAGTGTCGTAACAGTACAAATGCTCCGTCAACTATACATAAAAGTCAGAGCCACCTGTCGTCTGTGAAACCTCCTCCTGACTGCAGAACGTCTCTTATTATGTGTTATAATTTTTTTTAACGGACATTGTCTGATTATATAATCATATGCGCGGGCCGCTAGAGTCTGTTGATCTCCAGATTAACAGCAGCATGAAAATAACCTGCCGAAAGTGCCGATGCTCCATGGCGGAGGCTCTGGTAGAAATTGTCGGGATTTGCGTTTTTTACCCCCTTAATGTCTGACCAATGGTTGATCAGCATTTCCGAGCACATGACTTGTGTTCAAAGTGTATAGTCCGTTTGAGTTTTGCCCGTGTGAACGTGTCAACGCTGATAAACAACAACACCAAGTTCTTGATAGCGAACAGACTTTTTGACCGTACTGTATATGTGAAATAATTTATAAAACAGTATTTAAGATGAAAATATTTATTTGCCATGTTTGTCCTTGAATGATTCTGAGAAGGGGCCACTATAAGGAACGTGGACACAGACAGTTGAATATGCTATAACTTTTTTTAACTCAGATCCTTAGCTGAAATAATTTTTAACCAGAGGTTTGTTTGAAGAAGTTGCCCTTGAATGAATCTGACTGCTAAGGTCAGTCAGATGAAAAGGGATCAAGATAACAATCTAGTCTAGTTTACTCTTTAACTTATTACCAGAAGCTAAATAAGGACTTTGTTGAAACTCCAGAGAGAATCTGTATACATTTAATAAACTGAAATAAGACTTTATTTCCAAAAATATTTATTCTTATTTTTAACAACCAAATGTAAGTTCTTAAAAAAACACCAACGATACACACATTCCAACATTACACAGAGCAGCATGTATTATAAATCCTGTGTTAACATGAAAACGGTTCATTATAACTTGCTGACACAACATTTTTTATATTATGTATACGACAGAAAAGATTATTTTGTAACTAAATACTAGATGCATTCCTTTTGACACTGCCATAAACATGTTCCAATCATACATGATCGATGGCGGCATGCTATACAAAATGTGTATGCATATTTATAGCATGACTTGAACACCAATATGGACCAAACCAAAATAACAATATTGTATTAGCCTGACCAAAATTGCATTATGCAAATTGTCTGTCTATGTCTGTTTTTTATTTATGTATTGTGCACATGTATGATATTTTTGTGTACATTTTATACCAACTGTAAGCTACAAACAATCCAATCCAAACGTTTTTGTTAATGTTTCATAATAAAGGAAATTAACCCAACCCATTTATGATTTCTAAAGTATACATTTTCACAGTGTACACAATCATTTCAGTGAGAAATACCAAATGTAAACAGAAGTGTGTTGTTTACAATAAAAGCTTTACAGGACATCTTCGACTTCCATGAGTACTTTGCCAACAGATGTGTAATCAATGTGAATAAAGGTTTTAGCTAACAGCTTTAGGGGAAGCCTGGTAAACTGTGAATGCTGATCCTTCTTCCATGTTTAAGTACCTGAGTCTTTCCTTTACGAGGGGTCAGAGTTGGGGGGCAGGTGGATCCCCAGACTCTGCAGCAGGTTGGAGGCCGGCCCGGCGAGCCCGGCCTGGCAGCTGAGGGACTCCAGCAGGTTGGCGACCAGGTTCAGATCCACATCCAGAGGCTGGATCTCCTCCTCAGTCTCTTCCATACCTTCATGTGTTGGGAAACTGTCCGTGGCAGAGGGATGAGGGCCGCCATTGCCCAATTCTGCCTTGTTGTGATTCTGCAGAAAGGACAAAAACAGTAACACATGGAAAGACGTACATAAAAGGGATACACAAAAAGGCAACTGTTACAATTACCCAAAAATACGTAATGTAATAACTGTGACGACCCCTGCTTTACTGTCTCCTGTGGCGTGGGTATGGCCCTTTAATGTTCTCTCTGTTTGTGTCAGTACTGATTGAGGACACGTGGCTGCTGGTACCGGAGGATTGAAAGGCCTGAACCAGAGTTTCGATCTCTCTCTCCGCAGAGGACCTGTTCTGGGAGAGCAGCCACGTCGCTAATTCTTTCGTCTTGCCTTTTTGTTTGGCTTTGGTCACGTTGAGTTTTGAAAATAATAAATAAATAAAATAAACATCTTTCATATATATATTATTGTCCTTTCCACGCGTTTGTTATGGCTAAGGGCCATGACAGCTGGGAGCTCGTCCGCTTCCTTTATCTGTACTACTACAGCAACGGATAGGTAAGATTTGTGTTAGGAGTTGGTGCGGGTGTGTAAAGTTTGTTTGCGCATGCAGTTCGGCCGGTTTCTTTGTTTCGGCTCATTAGACCGCGTGTGGGAAGGAAATGTATATTTCAGATCATTGTTTGAGGATTGATTAAATTACTTTGTGAGGCTATTATTTGTTTTGTATTATATTTCGGGAGAGTGTTTGCCAGTTGTTCTTAGCCGTGGTCAGCCGTTTGTTTTTTTCCTCTCTCTTGTTGACACGTGTGGGTTTGTTGGTGCGTTGTATGTGGAGCAGTGCGGAGCTTTCCCTTTTAGGTTTTAGCGGCGGTTCCCTTGGGATTGTTGAGCTGGGTGTGTAGTGTTGCAGAGAAAGTGGTTGAAGCTTCGGCTTGGGAGCATGGCCGTGGTTTCAGTAGTGTTGCTAGCCTGCTAGTCGCTTTGCTGGGCCAGCGGTCTCCAGTGCATAAATACCCACCACAAGTAACTGCATGAAGACTAGGGAGGAGATTAGTCAGTGGGATGGTCAATAGTTAGTGGGGAAACTCCAATCAAAAAGTTAGTATTGTACCACTTTGTACGTATAATAAACGCTGTGGTGTCGGTCCGGTTTGTTTTTGTTTTCCTTCTCTCTGCTTAAAGGTCCGGTGTTGTGTTCCGGTGAGGGGTCGTTGTAATATAATATGGCTGACGTAGAGGCATTCATTAAAGCTCCGTCTCAGGAGTCTCTTGGCACTTTTTCAAAAGAGCAGCTGCCTTTGATTGCTGAATATTTCTCTGTGTCTATTGTCGGTGATAAGAGGATGAAAGAGAATATAAAAGACTATAGTGTCGACATTAAGGGAGACGGGAGTGTTTTCTGCAAAGAAAGAGGAGGTTTTGTTAAAACCTCTTTTTCAGGCTAGTGCACTTTCGTTTGAGCAGCAGAAAGAAGCAGTCCGCATATTCCTCCTTGAGTCTGGAACATAGCTTTAGCTATGTTAAAATAAAAGCTGCTGTTCTTAAAGCATATGAACTAGTGCCAGAGGCCTATCGTCAGCGTTTCAGGTCCTGTGAGGGAAAAAATGGCCAAACGTACGTGGAGATAGCGAGGGATTTGTCCACTCATTTGGGCGTTGGTTGATCTCTCTTGACATCATTTATTTTGATAATTCATGTGACCTCATGATTTGGGAGCAGTTTAGAAATGTTCTTCCTGATCGCATTGCAACATATGTCACTGAACGAAAGGTCACTTCTGCTTCTGAGGCAGCCGATGAGTTTGTGTTGCTCCATAAGAGTAATTTCAGAGAGCGTTCTGTGTTTCCCAGTGGTTTTGATGAGAGGTAATGGTTCTGCTGCTGTTTCGTCTGAGACACATTCAAAGCCAGCAGGTTTCTTGAACTCTGACTTTGGAAATGTGAATCACTGTAACTATTGTCATGAGGAAGGACATTGGAAGGCAGCATGTCCTGTTCTAGGGGCTAGGAACTGGAGAGTGAGAAGTGATGTTAGGCCTGCTGCATTCACTGCCCCGGTAAAACGCTGTTTTGGTTCTGAGGTGCCTACATTTCACTTCTGTAACCCCAATGTTTTGGCATCGTTTGCCCCTTTCATTAGAGATGGATTTGTTTCATTGGTCAATGGTGATGTGAAAGTTCCAATAAAAATCTTGAGGGACACCGGATCCTATGATTCCTTCGTCGTAAAATCTGTCTTGCCTTTGTCTGATGAGACTGACACTGGTTGTGTTCGGAGTCGTGGGATAGGATTGAAGGTTCAACCCGTTCCTGTTCACAGGGTTTATTTTGACTGTGACCTTGAGTGAAGTAGCTGTCGTGGTGAGTCCAGCTTTGCCTTTCATAGGGGTACATTTTGTGTTGGGTAATGGCTTGCAGAGTTTGGAATGGCACTCCTCCTGTACCTTTCGTCACTTGTGGTTTGGCTGTTTCTGTATCTGTGAAGATACCCAAGGTGGGTCCAGAGGTCACTTCGTACTGCAAGAGCGCATGTGTTGTGGCCGAATCAGTTCATGAGTTGTCTCTGGACAGCGGCTCTGCCATGGTCATGGGGGTCCCATCTCTGTCAGAGCCTTCCCTGTCTCTGTCTCGCAGTGGGGTTTTCCAGGGTCATTGCTGTGACCATTCTTTGCACAGGGGTTTTGAACATGTTTAGCCTGTTGCCGAGTTGAAGAGTGCTGCTGTTTCCCATTCTGCTGGGACCTGCCATGTGAACCGGGTTGTGTGTGAAGGTCTCCACCACCTGAGTAGGTGTCGTGTCGAGGTTGTGTTGCCTGGGGCAGATGCTCGGCATGAGCCGGAGTAGGGTCAGCCGTTTGAACGTTGGAAGATTTCTGGCTGTATGTGATTGGTAAAAGCTGGACTGGAACTATTGTGACTTTAATATATTGACTTTCATATTGTCTTATTAAATCTTTCTCGCTCTGCCCATCTTTTTAAAGTGTGCTTCTCAGGTACCTGGGTTACTAAAGATGTGGTTGGTTATTGAAGACGAGGATTTCTGTATGAAGGTCATATATCACAATTATGGTTCTTTAAGATAGGGTGCCAGGGTGTGTGACGGAAATATGACGCTGCGCTGTCAGTACGCTTCTCCATGTTTGTGATTGGTCGAATGCTCCCTTTCATGTGAACGCGCACCTAACTAGATAGGGCACGGCTGGCTTGAGCGATCCACTTGATAACCCGCG